CGCTGCAGCGCACGTTCTCCCGAGGGCTGTGTGGCTCTGTGCCAAGCCGCTGGCTCTTCCTTGCCTTTTCTTTCAGGCACGTTGGTGTCGTGGGCGTGGTCCAGTTTGGGCTTGGGAAAGTGGAAATAGAGGCAGTTGGTCCAGATGTATACTGTACCCCTTTCTCAGCTTCTTCCTTTGCCAACTGGCATGTATGGAAGAACTCTGAGCTTGGGCCTAGACCAGGGGTCCTCAAACTTTTTAAACAGGGGGCCAGTTCACTGTCCCTCAGACCGTTGGAGGGCCGGAATAGTTTAAAAAAAAAACTATGAACAAATTCCTATGCACACTGCACATATCTTATTTTGAAGTAAAAAAACAAAACGGGAACAAATACAATATTTGTATTTGCATGTGGCCCGCGGGCCGTAGTTTGAGGACCCCTGGCCTAGACTGACACCTGGATCTGGTCCCAGTTCTGCCTTCATCACTACAGTCACCTTCAGCAGGTCCTCTCTCCTCCCCGAGCCTCATTCTTCTTCTCCGTGAAATCAAAGGGTGGGCCCCATGGTCCCTTGTTGCTTCCTTTGCTCCTAGATGGTATAAGGAGATAGATATAGACTTCACGATTCACTAGGGACAGTGATCATACGTTATTATTTTGGGTGGACACTTTCTCCAACTTGGTATGAGTAGAGCCTCAGACTGTGTAGATCCTTCAGGATTTATCAAGTGTCATATTTGACAAGGAGACATTTTAGAGGATGTCCTAATATAATTGCCACGTTTCCCTGTTTGTGGCATTTTAAAAGCTACAATTGTTTTATAGCCTGAACCACAGAAATTAAAAGTATCCTGAAGAATCAGAAGCATCCCAACTCAACCTCCCCCCGTTGCAGGCAGCCCATTTCTCAGCCTTGTTCTCAGACTTGTGTTTGTGTGCAGATTTCCGGGGCTTGTTTGCCGTGTCCTTTTTATGCACATGTGTCCTGTCTGCCTTGATCAGAGACACTGGCTCAGGGGCACACTCAGATCCAAAGGGACCTTTGGTTCCCCTTCTCACTTTACACATGAGGAAATGGGAGCCTGGCAGGCTGCAGGACTTGCCCAAGTCCTGTAAGTGGCCCAGAACCGGGGGGATGCCCTGCCTGTGCTCTGCCCCACTGCTGCCATGTAGGCAGGCCTGGTGTTTCTAAGGTCCTGCTGCTTTTCGGACATCTTGACTGACTGGTACTTGCTGAGGTCTAAAACCGTGTTTATGAGGCAGAGAAACTCGTGGAGAAGTGTGATGTCTTTCTCCCAGGATGACACAGTCTAGCTCTGGTCGGAAATAGATCCTTGGGTTTCTTTTTCCACTTATTCTCACATCTGGTCATTGCCGCTTTGAACTTAAATGAACCAGCCCATAGTTGAGATTTTTTTTTTGTAAGCAGTGCAGTACAAGTCTTAATACATTAATTTTTATGTTTTGAATTTTACAACCGTGCCTCAATTTGTCAAGGCCAGGGCTATCTGTCTCTCAGTGTTCCTTTCTCCCTGGGCCTTGTCTGGTGGGCAGAGCAGGGATGGGTCCGTCAGACACAAGCACGGGGCCTCCTCCCAGGTCTCTATGCCTGGAGCCCTTCAGGCTGCTCCGTCTAGCCGTCACCTAGGTAACCGACATGCAGCCCGCAAAGCAGTCTGTCCACAGTGAGAGGAAATAAAAAAATGAAACTGCAGTGTTTATTGTTGATGCACTACGCGTTTTTTGAATGTGACTAGATTTTGAAAAGGGGTTGTTTCACTTCTCTGTTGGGTGTTGGCCTCTGTGCCCGGCGTGTCACCCGAATGTTTCCGGAATTGCTGTGTCTGTTTTCACAGTGTGCACTTCCACGAAACCTCGGATCTGTCGAATGCAGTTAAGTTTTCATTCCCCAGTGATTCCTAGGAGCACTGCATTTCATAAAAGTTTTATGCACAAGAGGTAAAGCAAACATATCTCCACAACTTATTTGGTGAGGTTTTGTGGGTGTTCATGTTTTTTAAAACTGTCCCTTCCTGTGGGGGTGTTTTTCCGTTTGGTGTGCTCTATTTCCTTAGTAACTGTTACTCTGTTATGGGAGGGGCTTAATGACATTTTTCAAGTGCAATATTGAATTAATTATTTCCTGGTTAGTCCTGCCCATCTTCCCAGGATAAATAGAACGCCTCTGTGTGTGTGTGTGTGTGTGTGTGTGTGTGACGACAGGATGGCAGTAGCGTCGAGGGGGCCTTTGAATGTGTGGCTGTGGCTCAGGATTAGTCGGTGACCTTGTGTCCTGGGTAAGTTGCCTCCTTCTTTATGCTTTCTCTCCCCCGAGCCTTGATTTTCTTTATTTGGGTATTATTAGGCTTAAACGTACTTTGGTTTGGGGAACTGCGTGAGATTCAGCACTAGTGTGGGAAGAACAGTGGTTGTCGGGCAAGACATCCAGGGATTAGTGTGACTCTCCGGCACACTACTTTTTGTGGCTGTTGTTTAACCTCTGTGGGGCTAGAGTTTTCTCCCCGAGGGTGGAAAGAATTTAAAGCCATGACCCCTCTGGCCCTTTCCTGGGTAGGAGGTTCTGTGAAGTGTGAGTGCAGTGGAATCACTGCTCATAAGCACTGTCTCCTCTTGACCTAGATGGGCTGTAGGAGAAGCGCTTGCCAGTCCAGAGGCCGGAGTCAGCGCTGCGGAGCAGCCTCTCAGCCCAGGAAACGCTGCTTGTCAGTTCACGGCTGGGGGTGGGGGGTTGTTTTGTAGATATTTGCTGAGCCCTTCTGTATGTGCCCCTCTCTGTATCCACTCATCCACTCATCCAGTAAACGAGTGTTTCCCGAGTGCCCGTCCTCGGTGCTGAGGGGAAACGGAGAGTCATCCGGTCACTGTCCTTGTCCTCGTGGTGTTTAAGGTCTAGTGGGAGGATGGGCGCTAAGCAGTCGCCACCCCTGCATGCAGCCACAACTATGGCAAGTGCCGGGAACCGGACTCCGCATTTAGCCTGGGGACGACCTAGGAGGCATCTCTGAGGAGGGTTGTTGGAGCTGAGATAGAAAGTGAGCGGCGGTTCTGGAGCAGGAGCCACCTGAGAGTGGGAGATGGGATGGGCAAGAGGATGGAAGGACAAGGGGATGGGGCATGATTTGTCAGCTTCTCTGCCTTTTCTGCTGATTCTCGGTTGCCCAGACTGTTGGGTCATCTGACACTTTGTTCCCGAGATGGCTGGGTTTCTGGCCCTGTTCGGGTTGGTTGGATCCCTCACTGAATAGAACAATGACTCCAGGTTCTGGAGACCCTTGTGCTATGTTTCTAGAAAGTGTATCTTGCTGTGTTGTTATTGGTTAGGAAGAAAACACTGATAGCCTTTATGGTTTCATTTTAACTTGAACATTGCATATAAGGAGACTTACGATTGTGTCCCTCCATCCTTTGTTGGGAATCTCACACATCATGCTCTAAAACTCCTGGCCAAGACCATGGCTGAGCCCTAGCAATGAACTACCTCTATTTTAGAAGTAAAGTTAAGAATTGCTGAGTGTGATAATGACAGTAAAAGAAAAAAAGCTTGTTGTTTCTTCTATTGCCACCCACATCTGCCTTAATCTTTCCCATAGCCATTTGCGATATTGTATAGGATAGCTTGATTTCCTAAAAAGTGAGCTGTCATACCTTTCTCAATGAAACGAAATAATATAAACAACGCCTCCTCCCAATAAAACAACAAAAACCTCACCACTCTCAGTTTTTCTCTGAGTTCAAAGAAAGGGGACAGATAAAGTCTAGCATTTCTGTGCATCGAAAGCATCATAGAAAAGGCCAAAGAAAATTAAAGGTTCAGGCCAGGTGGGCTTTTGTTTTTATCTGGCAATGCCATTTCCTGAAATGGATAACTATGGTGCATGTGATTACTTTAGAAGTTGGTGCAGGACTTTGGGATGCTGATACTGTATGTGTTGGTCATTTTATATGGAATATTTAAATTCAGAGAAAAAAAACGTTTTCCCACATTTTCACAAACTTCAACACCACCATTTATATAAATGGTTTTTAGTTAAAATAAAAATTTTACCTATTCATTAAACTTAAGGATTCCTACTGGGCTATACCTTATTATCTGAGATTGTTACTGCAGGTGTGTGAAGGTAATTGAATTTCTTAATATAATTAAAGTGCTTCATCAATACATAAAGTCTTCCTTATAGTTAGTCTGTATTAGTGATGTTTTATTTTATTACCTTATATTTATATTTACAGCAATAAAGGGGCTTTAATAGAGGATTTCTGTTATGTGCTGTTTTCTTAAATTATTTTTCTTTTAGTTTGATGGTGAAAATGAGGAATAAGGTTACATTTTCTAAAAATTAGTTATAAATTGAGTAGGATGAGGTGATGATAATGAAAAAAATTTTTTTTCCTCTAATACTGGAGATTCATATTTAGGATTCCGTTTTAAAAGTCTGGTCCTTTGGGCTTCTGACATCCTTGTTAATGCTACTTCTTGTGTAATATAACAATCGTGGGCTATCTGAAAGTATTTTGTAAAATGTTATTATGTTATATATATGGAAAAGTTTGTAGATTAAATTTGCCCTTCCTTCTCACTCTCCTAAAAGAATTAATATGAGCCTTTGCTTCCCCCTTAAGAGTCATTTTTAAAATTTCTCAACCCTGGTCCTTCCTAGACAGCAGTGGGTATGGACCTCAGATCCCACTTTTAAGACCTTGGGAACGAGCTTGGAAAACGGGTTCTTCGGGGTGTCTGTGAACTGTGATAACCTCGGGAAGGACATTGTAAGCTGGGGGGCCTCTGTGGCCGTCCTTGGAGAGGCTTGGAGCAGTGAGCCCTGTTTTTGTCTTGCCCTCCGCCCTTTCCTGTCACGCAGGACAAGGTCTGCAGCTGCCTCTTCTCAGAGCTCTCCCGTGCCTTCCCTGTGGTTCTGAGCACGACTCTGGGTGGGTCTGGCAAATTTAATGCTCCTACAGATCCTCAGTAAAGTGACCTATTTCTTTTTAATTTCAGAAAGAGGAGAGACGCAAAGCACAGAGAGCAGCAGATCAGACCACACCGAACTCCACTGGAGCGTCGGAGCCGTGGAGGATGCTGGCTGCCGAGCTGCAGAGGAGGCCCCCGCTCTGAGGGGGCGAGCAGGTCTCACTGAGACAGCTTCCGCCCCTCCCGGGCTCACCATGGCCTGCACTCTCTGGCTGGACGGCTGAGGTGACTGTGTGCCCCAAGTGTGCACGTGCTGGACTGGGTGCTGTCCCAGGTACCGCCTGCTCTCTGGGAGCAGGGCAGGTGGGCATCAGATGCTACCCAGAGCTGGACGGGGCAAAGCAATGGACTCCGACAAGCTAAGATGGAAGTGACCTGAGGCCTTGCCCAGGCGGTTTCCTCTTGCCAGGACAGCTCAATAGTCGGAGCACAGGCTTGTCTGGGGAGCAGTATGCAGGAAGCTGGTTTTCAGGCCACAAATGCTTTCACAGGTGAGAATTCTCCACATTTAAATGAAAATGCTATTTCAGCTCTTCGTTGATAGGCAATGCAATACCAAACAACTGTACAACATGAATGTACATTTGCTTTGATGACCTAAAGACCATACAGAGTCAAGGGGCTCAGGCTGCCAAGATGGCTGATTTTGACAAAATAATAGCATGTTTTCCTTCTCTCTAAATAGGAATTTAGAAAAAGCATTTGACATTTTACGAGTCTGCTCTTGTTGAGCAATAGAGCACATACAATACCTTGCAAGTCACATTTCTCTAAAGGACATCTGTCCCTTATGGAGGAATGTATAGGGACCTGGTTTTCTTTACAGAACTGGGAAGAGTCTTCGAGTGAATGAAGTTATTACTGACGAGTAACGTCTTCCTCCCCGTCCTAAGTTATCTTCCTCAGATTTATTCGTGTGCAGATGGTGGTGGGGCGGCAACCCTGCTGAACTAACCTTGCAGCGAGGATGCTTCTTCTATGTGAGCTCACCCAGAAGCCTGGCATCACTGCTTGACATCGGTTTACCCCCTGCCAGTTTGAACACTTTGCAGGGCACCACTTAGTCTGGCTGGAGCCCCAGAGCCATGGCCCAAGGCACAGGGGCTTTTGAAATTGGGTCCTGGTTCTGTGTCTGATTTGCTTAATATCCCAGGAAGCCACTAATTATTCTGGGTGTTTGGCTCCTCGTTTATAAAATGGGGGCTGTGACGTTGAAGAACCTCATGGAATTCAGATAAAACATTTTTCCATAAAAGAGGTGTTTTTTAAGAAAAGATGACAGGATAATCACAAGAAGTGACCATATTCTCTGGTCCTGTGAGTCCTAAAAGTTTGTAGCTGTGGAGAGGGCAGGCCAGGTTGTTGGGGTGCCTGGAGCGAGGTGTGGCGTAGGTTTGGGAGCCACACGGGCTTGGAGTGGACTCTCCTCCTCCACTGACCAGTGCTCTGCACCTGGACAGTCACAAGCTCCTTTCCGGTTTCCTCTGTAAATCAAGCTGGTCATGTGCAGCTCTCACGATGCTGCCGAGAGGAAAAAGGAGACAACATATGTGAGATGCAAAACACAGATCTTGATCCTTTACAGGCTTCTGCTATTTCCTGATATGGAGTCCCCAGTATGGGGCCAGGTTGCCTGGTTCAGTCCTTGGTGGTCCTTGTGCTCAGACCTTTGAGCAAACTCCTAGATCTCTCAGCATCTGCCTCTGTAAGATGGGGGCCTTGATCCTGGAGGCTAGGGAAGTCATGGTCTAGACTGGTCATGGCTCAGTGAAACAGGAGTGAAACAGCTATTGAAATGTAGATTCCAAAGAGCACACAAAGTTGAGCTCTCTGGAACTATCTTCAGACGTCCAGCCTGGCAGGCTCAAAACCATGCCCTCAGCCTCCCCTTCATGGCTACACCTGTTATCTCAGTCACATAAGCTGCTCCTTCATGAAATGTCAGCCCCTCCTCTGGGCAGAGGTGACATGCAGGGCTGCGGCACGAAACACCTCTGTGAAAAACACCGCCCTTCAAACTCTCCTCCCCATCTTCCAGGAGATAGCTGGGAGGAGAGGCATCTAGGTGATGCAGGAAACAAGCTCCTAGAAGCAGTTCTGGGAGGAAGAGGGAGCAAGAAAAGAGAAGGAGGAGAGGATGGGACAAAGAGAACCCGAGGACGAGTGGCACATGGTTCGAAATGTAGGCTAGCCCCGAGGTGGGCTTCTGGGTCCAGTCTCTTCACCCTTCTGAGCCTGGCACCTTTCTGTCGTGGCTCATACTTAGACATCCCGTCCCGTCCTCACCACTCTTTGGGGGGCTCTGCAGTTCCTTTGCCCGGAGGGAAAGGAATCCTCCACCCCATCAGGATCCCATTGCGCGCCTGAGTCTGTGGCCTGGGGACCGTAGGCTCTGAGTAAGGGAAACCCCTCAGTTCTGCCTGGAGAATTCTCAGTAGTTAGGATAGTACCTGGCACATTATTTAAGGCCCACATGAATGGCAGCTGTCATTATGACTGTTACTGCCTCGGCTGTGGTCACCTGCCTACACACTCATATATAGAGGAAGCACCCTCACTGCAAGGTTAGTTCAACCACCCTCTTGAGGCTACTCCCCTGCTCACATTTTCTTATCTTCCTTTTAACTCATAGTTTTACCGAGAATTCTTGTTTCCTTACGAATTTGGCCTCCTCAGGTACATCAGCCTACCTGAACAGTGATCATACCACGACTAGTAGCGAAATAATAACCACGGCTAATGTTTTAGAGAACTTACTGCATGCTCTTCCTGTGTTACCTCTGTCAGTCTTTCCAACAGCTCTGATGCCAGTGTTAGTGTGTTGGTGCTGCCGGTGCAGGGCACACTCCGAGTACCCAGGAGTCAGATCGAGCTGGTGGCCCTTGCAAATCTTCTAGCATGTGTGTGACCTCGGTTGCCCATAGGGGTCATCCGGGGAGCCTTGCCGCACTGCCTGGTCTCACCCCGCAGAGATTGGGATTGACTTGGTCTCTGCATCACCCAGCCCTGCTAATTCAGGACCTGCATCCTAACAAGACCCCAGGTGCTCAGCACACATGGAAGTCTGGGAAGCACTGGGAGCCAGCACTGCACAGAGAGTGGTGTTTAGAGGTGAGGGATGGGTTGGGAGAGTCAGTTCTTGAGAAAAGGAACGGACGTGTCCCGTTCCTGTAAGAGGGAGGATTGTGTTGACGGATCTACCCATTCTTAAGGAAGCTGTGTTGAATGTTAGTACCGACAGCACCTGTGGGACAATGGTTTTAGCTTCCCAATATCTCTGGGAAATAACCAGTGGTAAAATAAGGAAGTTGTAAGTACCCAGCCTTCTCTGGAGGTGGGTCCCGGTGGACTCAGCCTGTCATTTTTATTCTTTGTCTGCTCTTCTCATCTTTCTTTGCCCACACAGTCCGTAAAAGTTACTTACGGTGTATGATGCAAGAGCTGCCCCTCTGTCCCTGCCCAAGCTGTTAGCTAAAGCTGTGGTCTTAGATGGAGGTCAGTGGGAGGCTGGTGCCCACCCTCTTAGTTGGTTTGCTTTTCATATGTCTGTGGATATAGTCTTTTCTTATCCCAGGGCAACTAAAGATGCTAACGTCTTAGTTTTTGGAATGGAAGATAGACTGAGTTTGCTGATTCTTTAGGCTCATGGAAAGGAGCCTTGCTTTAGATAACTTAAATGGCGAAGGGGTTAAGGCATTTTTCCTTGGCTTTTGTTTTAGGGCAAAACAAAAGTTACTGTACAGTTAACCATACCTCCCCTTGAAAAATATGTCAATTTGTATTTTGTTTGTGGAGGGTGTTCAAGATTCCTCTTCAGTAAGGACTTGGGGGCTGCAGCCGGGCTGGGAGGAAGGCTGGGAGACCTGTGTGAAGCTGTGTTTGCCTGGCAGCCCGTTGCCTCTTTGCAGTGCATGGCATTCCCGTGGCGGGTGGTGGGAGCTTGCAAGGCCCCACTCGCCATGACACCGCCGGCCCACCCGTGGGGTTCGAAGTCTCCTCCTAAGTCTTGCTTCCTGTGTGAATGTAGATATACCCACATGGATACATATTTCAAATTCAACTTCCCAATTTTGATTTTCTCAGGCTAAATGTTGCATAAAGAAATTTATACGCTGTTTTAAATTTTCTCAGTGCATGTAATTTAGAAATGATTTTAACCATTTAGATACTATTTTATAACAAAAAATTAATTTCCCCCTTTATAAGTAATACCTGATCATTGTAAGAAAATTTGGAAAGCACATAAAAGTCTAAAAAAGAAAAATAATTACCCATGCAGAATATTGCCATTTTCATTAACATTTTGTCTTGCGTCCTTTCAGTATTTTTTCCTGTGCAAAATTTTTCTCACAGGACTGTTCATAATATATATTCAATTTTATAACTGATCATTCCCTTTTTAAAATTACATTATGAGCATTTTCTTTTAAATATGATTTAAAATTGCTTTATGATATTCTTTTATGCATGTGTACTTGAATTTTAAAATTGTGCTTTTATTGTTGGATATTGGAGTTTTTGACAGCTTCTCCCCTTATAAATAATTCTCTGATGAACACTGTGCAAAAAAACTCTTCTGAATACTGGGTTATTTCCTTAGGATAAACTACTAGACACAGAATTATTACATCCAAAGAAGTGAACTTTATGAAGGTTTTTGGTTGAATTTCCAAAGGGATTGGCTGGTCCTAGCTTCTGAGACGGCGCTGGGCTCAGTTTCTTCCAGTTGCCTGTTCGCCGTTGCTGGGGCCCGTCCCTGCCATTCCGCTGTGAGATGGAGCCGCCCTGCTGCCCTGCGGGGTGTCCTGAGACTAATTCACTCTTGTGGAGCTTTTGCAGCACGCTGCTGTAGGCTACCTGGGACCCACCGTTAGCTCGACAATGCTAGTATTTCATCGGGGCGAAGCGAAACTCAAGCATCCTCAGTTTACTGTTTTTGTTCGTCCAGGGCCCAGTGGTCGGCAAACTCATTAGTCAACAGAGCCAAATATCAACAGTACAACGATTGAAATTTCTTTTGAGAGCCAAATTTTTTAAACTTAAACTCTATAGGTAGGTACACTGTTATTAACTTAATTAGGGTACTCCTAAGGCTTAGGAAGAGCCACACTCAAGGGGCCAAAGAGCCGCATGTGGCTTGCGAGCCGCAGTTTGCCGACCACAGGTCCAGGCAGTCTTTCTGTGTGGCTATAGTTCAGTGAGGCAATGATGACTCCAAAGTCAGACTCCAGCACGATAAGACTCTTGTAGAAACAACCCCCCAGAGCTCTGGGCAAATAGAAATGGGCATCCTTCCAGGATATGTCAGTCAGGCCTCCGCTGAGGCATCCTAATGGTGATGGAGATTTCGTCGGAGGTTCACTGTGCTCTTGGTGGTGTGGAGTGCGCCTTGCCTGAGTTACCACTATGCACATCCTAAAGAAGATGCTGGTTTGAGATCCTGCCTCCTCCCCACCCCCAATGTCACTCTTAGATACTGTAAAGGGTTTGC